CCCAAAAAAACGAGTATACTAAGCGCAAAACGAGGTTTCTGTCTTCGAAAACCGACGGTTTTCCATGCACCATAACCATACACCCAAAAATTTCATGAAGTTACCAAACAGGCCCTAACAGCCTTATGGCGGCTTTTGTAAGGAAGACGCTAAATTCGCTTCTTCTGGGTAGAAAAGTTGTAGAGCTGAGCGAAGGGGTTTATGAATATCGGAGCACCGCCTCCAAGTTGCAAATCAAGTGTCAGAAAGCAAAAATTTCGCAAATGTAATGAATAACCTGGGCTCCTTGCCGATCGACGCACCGGCATTCACCTTCCCAGTGGTATGAATGGAGTCGAGATGTCGTCTCGGTCAGGTATGGCGCATAATAGACTCTTTTCGACTCTACTATCGTAAGACTTGGAATCTCGAAGAAACTATTATCACTAGACTTGCCTCGCGACTTATAGCCGGTCCACAATTTTCTTTCGTATAGAGCTTATGAGAAAAAATAAAGATATTGCTGCACCGTACCCATTACAAGTGCACTACAGTCCCACAGCCTAACCCCCAAAAATTGCATTTTTCTTTGGATTGCCATAGCCTAACCCCAAAAAACATGCTTTTTTTTTCAGATTGCCAATAGTAGCAGAAGCGTTAGTGCACTGAACTACCTATAAATACCAGATAGACAAAGGTTTCGAGATCGAAATTCAGCATCGACATTTTATATTAAGCAAAGGCATTCCGCATCAAAGCAAAGATATCAAACATCAAGCAAGATACCAGACATCAAGCAAAAACATCAGACATCAATCAAGGATCTTCGACATCAAGCCAAGATATCCGACATCAAACAAATATACATTTGATATGCAGATTCGCATGCTCTCCCCAACTCTAAGCGAGCGGGAAATCAGGGATAAAGATCTTGACGATCTTGAAGACCGGAGAATCATGGAAGAGATATTATAAGATCTCAAAAACGCAACGCCAATGTTCCGGCAATTCGCGAAGTTGCCCAACGATGTAAAGCAACTTTTCTGGCACTTCCTTGCGCAACACCCTCAGATCATCCGACCGGAATGCTTGCCGCCATTCACCAAGCTGGCTCTAGACCGGTACGACGGGGAAGACGACAGGCAGATCCTACCTTTCGTCCCGGCGGTCCTCCGGTCACGACGAGTCGGGCTGGGGTACTACTACAAGCAGTATTTCCCGAACAGCAGCCACCCCGCCCCGTATCTGAACCCTATGGCCGACACTCTCCGCTTCGAGGACCGGATCGCCATGCGAAACTCTTATCTGCGGATAGATATGAGCGCCATCGACATCCAGACGATTGAGCGGCGTTACCCCACCTTCTCGAACGATGGGCAGGTGAAGATCAACTTGCCCAGAGAGCTCGTCGAGTTTCCGAAGCTGCAGCACGTCTACTTCCTGGTAGACGACCGAACCAAGGAAACGACTTCCAAACGCCAGCTGACGGATCAGGTGAAGGAGGCCTGGGAGCCGCATCTCAAGATCTTTGTGCGATGGTCACGTGTACAGCAACCTCCACAGGAACCTACGTTTCACTTCTTCACTCTGGAAGACGGGAAACGCAAAGAGATTTAGGGGGATTGCGGCTCGGCTGTCGCTTTTAATCTGATCTCAGAGCCTGGCCTGGTAATTATATCTTCTTCCGCTTAGACTTTACCAGACCGGCATACTGATTCTTCTTGCTTTTAGATGTCGATCGCTCAACTCGAGGCATGGCTGTGATCCAGGGCCTGGTATACATCTCTGGATATTGAACGTGGGATTAACGTACTCGTACTCGGAGCTGGTGGACGGACAGACAGGACTTGGTTGGGAGCATAGAAGGAGGTGCCTTGGGATAGCTGTACAATAGTTTGATGCTAGCTACCAGGTCGGAGTATCAACGTGTGTAGTGCTGAGAGTGGCACTTTCATCTTCATCCAAATTGATGCTTAAAGACTTTGATGATGTGAAGTTGCGAACCGAGAACGAGAACGAGAACGAGAACGAGAAGCCCGGGTTTTATGATGGTCCGAAGGCGAGACTTCGGCGCGTCTCCCCCAGTTTTATACCAAACAACCTAAACCAAACCAAACCCATAGTATCCCCGACAGGCTCACCCACCTCATTCCCCCTGACGGACGTATATTCTTCTCCTGATGCCCAAATCCCCAACGCGCAAATGCAGCCTCCATGTTCCTCCTTTGTCTCCTTCAGAAGGCGCTGTTGATTCTCGTGCCAACATGCTCAGTCCTCTCGTTCTATCTGTATCTCTACCCAGTATTCCACCTCTGCGCGTTCCCTTCCCCTGAGCAGAATACCCGCGCCGAGTATATCAACACCCTGCGAGGGCACACCCTCTTCCCGCCGAGAGATGCGACCAAGATAGCGCCCTTCCGTCTGCTGGCGCTGGGCGACCCGCAGCTCGAGGGCGACTCTTCTATTCCAGACGCTGATGCCGCGAACTTTCCGCATCTCTCAAAGTTCTGGAATGATGCTCTCCTGCGCAGTGGGACGGAGCATAGCCCTCTGCAGCGTCTGCGGCATAGTCTGCATGACCTGATAGACTTTTACCTGGACGATATACCGAAGGCCTTTCAGGTTTACCGCAAGCGGCTCGATCATATTGGGAACGACTATTACCTGGGGCATATCTACCGGACGATGCATTGGTGGACGGATCCTACACACGTCACCGTTCTTGGAGACTTGGTTGGAAGTCAGTGGATTGACGACGAGGAGTTCGAAAGCCGAGGGTGGAGATATTGGAATAGAGTCTTCAACGGGGGGGTCAAGGTTCCTGAGGAGGTTGAATGGCAACCAGTGGAGGACGAGGATGTATCGCTTCTTGGAAATGATGCTGCGGCTTGGAAAAGAAGGATTATAAATGTTGCTGGGAATCACGATATTGGATATGCTGGGGATCTGACACAAGAACGAATGGCGCGATTTACGAGGGTCTTTGGAAAGCCGAATTACGAGCTCCGGTTCAGAATGCCCGTAAATTCGACGGACGGCAAAGACGGTGAGGGTGGGGATAGACCGGTACCTGAGCTGCGGATCGTGGTGCTTAACGACATGAACTTGGATACACCCGTTGGATCTCAGGAGATGCAAGAAGAGACGTATGACTTCCTCAATAAAGTTATTTCCACGTCCGAGGATGTGATTCGACCTGCACATTTTACGATTGTGCTTACACATATCCCTATGTACAAGGACGCCGGAATCTGCGTTGACGGACCATTCTTCGACTTCTTCTCGGACGAATACAACAATGGAGTGAAGGAGCAGAATCACCTTTCCAGAGACGCTTCAAAGGGGTTCCTGGAGGGGATTTTTGGCATGAGCGGCAACTCTAATGGTGCAGGAGCGGGACTTGGTAGGCACGGCGTCATTCTCACTGGCCACGATCATGAAGGCTGCAACATCTACCATTACATCAACCAGTCCTCCTTGCCTGAGAGGCATTGGGATGCCACCACGTGGCCAAATGCCCTTGCCATTCACCTGGATGAACAGGCAGATCTACCTGGGCTCCGAGAAATCACCGTCCGGAGCATGATGGGTAGTTTCGGTGGAAACGCTGGTCTGATGAGTCTCTGGTTTGACGAGGAGACTTGGGACTGGAGATTCGAATTCGCAAACTGCGGCTTGGGTATTCAGCACATATGGTGGCTGATACATATTTTGGATCTGATTACTGTGGGCATTGCACTTGTCTACGGGGCGATTATCCTTGTTCAAACGATCACGAGGGCTGTCGATGGAAACGTTGGAGATTCGAGCCAGGCCAGCGCGAAATTACCAGCCGGAGGAGGCGGCGCAAAGCCGTCGCAGAACGGCCATACGAATGGCAGCACCAGGACCGCGAAGAAGTCGGTGCCGCAAAGCTTGAGCAGCGGGGAGTCTGAGGGATGAATTCAGTAAGACGAGCTTGGATCAGTAGAGCATTTGTACGATACCCATCACACTGAAGTTATACTACGCGTCCTGCAGGATTCCTGGGCTGTATTTCTGGTCACGTGTCCAGAGCATTGTGTTGTGTTTCAATACCGGTACGTAGGTGATGCTCCGCTGGTCATCCGGGGGGCCACTACCGTGGAGGCCGAGGGGGTCACTAATCCCATGTTCTCGTCGTGGGCTTGAGGTGTTGTGCTAAGCAAAGAAATATACTGCATCACGCCGACACGCTCACTGGTTTTTGGGACATTGAGGTCACGAGTGTGTCCCCTGTTCTAGACTCCAGACTTAACGATACCGAGGTATCCTTAGATCATCATTAGAAGCTTCTTGGAAGGCTCCGAAGACGATTAAGTGGCTCTTCAAACGGTTGATGACATCTGAAGTGGAGCTCAACCCTACCGGAATGGGATAAGCGAGTACGTTAGCGAGGGTGAAGGGGAAAAGCCTCCGCCGCCGTGTTGATACAATACGTATAGGGAATCATTAGTCCCTAAATACCCCCTCGAGGAGTCTCATATATGCATTGACGCGGTTGGTAATCAGTAAGTCGCAAGAAAGGTGGTTCCTCTGTTAGGTCATCCATCTCATCCTGCCTTGCTACGGTACTCTGTCCTTTTGCACATCTTCCTTCTCGACAATTCGAAGCCAACAAGATGACCGCCGCCGCTGGGAGTATAACGATAATGATCGCATACACTGGCGGGTATGTAATCCTCATCGTCCGACGTCAAAGTCTCGGATCGCCGACGCTATGGAACTCAAGCAAGCCAGAGGAGCTCCGCGGTGCGGAAGAGCCGGGGATCGCACGAACATGGATTCCTGTGGGGGCTCGGGATTTTCTATGGAGAAGGAGGAGTCTAGAGGGCTTTGGGGACTAGTGACCAGATGTCTCGGACGCCGCGCTCGATCTACACGCCGAGACAGGGCGTCGCGTCCCGATCGTTCAACTGTTCCTCGGGCTGCTTCCATTGTACCGGTAGCGCAACCGCCGTTACGAGGGTCGTGTTTAGGGGTATTTTCGGTAAGATATATGTTATTCCACATATGATGACGGATACCGAAAGAGGTCGACGGCAGCCTCTGGCACAGCCTAGCTGATGTTTCTGCCGCAAAAGACGTCGTCCAGGCCGCTTGTTGGAGTATTTCCGTTCGGCTCGCTTGGTCCAAACAATCGCTTAGCTTCAGCGCTTGCGTTTGAAGCAGATGCTGTCGTGTGGCGGGTGACGTCACCAAGATTAACGCTCTTGTACTATAGCCTGGCGCGGCCATCTTTCAACCTCGGCCAACATCTTCCTCCATTCCAACTACACACCCACTGACAAGAACAACAATAAGAACAAGAACAAGAACCAGAACCAGAACCAGAACCAGAACAGGAACAAGAACAAACCATTTACGGCCAACTTCGCGATCACCAAATCAGCAAAAATGTTTCTCCAAACCGTCCTCAGCTTCCTTCTCCTCGCCGTCGCCGCCCTGGCTCAGCCCATCTCCACCGAGGTTGTCCAAGAGAATGCCTGGAAGTACGGTACCGGCGGGGGTGTTGTCGGATTCATCGTTTTGATTCTCGATATCATGGTCTTTCGTACGTTCTTCCCACTGAATCAAAAGGCACTCGCTCTCTCACTCGGCCTCCCTGTGTCCCTCCCAACGCAACAGCCCTTTGACTGTGGGGGTGCTCTGACTAAAAGCTGACCACTCCGCCAATACAGTCGAAGTCCTCAAGTCCAACCGCCCTCCTCTCCCGAAGCTTCTCTGGTGCGTGCTGGTCTTCATCTTCCCCATCGGAGGATTGATCATCTACTACCTCTTCTCCAACCGCGAGACACACAACTCCACGGGCGGATACGAGACTCTGCCGCAGTAAACCTCCTCATCTCGTGGGATCACGCCTAGACATCGATCGGCAGGCGCAGAAGGCTGGGGAGTGCAGGTTTGGACCGTGGATCGAGATGCATTGCGTTCATGGTATGGAATGGAGTCGGAAGGGTTGTACGTTTCCATATGTGTGTGATGACTTCTCTGGTGCGGGCTCGGAGTAGAGAGTGTGTGACACGGTCGATGAAGATGGTCAACTCAGGATTCCCGAAGCTACCAATCCTCGACGTGAGCTGTCGGATAGAGCGCGCGAATGGATTCCGAGAGTGGTATCTGCTGATGCTAAGAAAATGGGGCAGTGTTGCACAAGACTGGCATCTGTCGTTCATATAGGAGAGGCAGCAGCTGAAACTCTTTATCTCTTATATCGAATAATGCAAAAGTCTTTTTTGCCTTTGAACTTACTGTCAACTTTATCAGCACGGATCCGAGCCTGTTGGTTTAAGAATATTGTGTATATGTCTCTTGAGTCAGCTGCTCTAGAGATTACCTGTTGAACGAGTTTTCTTGATTCTCGTCCTTGAGTCATGCTCTCGATTCTTGTCCTCGATTCTTGTCCTCGATTCTTGTCCTCGATTCTCGTCCTCGATTCTCGTTATAGGTAATCTGGCCACAATCCACTCAGACTTTTTGACCTGCAATACTTAGCGCCAGACAAGACCACGTGCCAAGCGACGCTCGCTAACCAACCGAGCCCAGTCGTTTGACATTACGGCGTACGGTACGGTAGGTACTTATGGGCGTTCTGGTCTGGCCATGCAAACAACCAAGGTAGCTCGCTAGCTAGATGTATTTTGGAAGAAGAATCAAAGGGGAGGGAGGGAAAAGGGTTGGATCAAGGAGAGATGTTGGTACCGGTGGCTCGTCAATGATACGGTACCGGTACATACAGACGTGTGCTCAAGCTTACCTATCTACCGTATCTACCGGTATCTATCCGGAGGTCTCTTACCTATTGTTCGTTCGTCTGAATATACTACTACTACTAACATATGTAGTATGTACTACTATAGGACGGAGTAGGTACCAACCTTCATGCGGAGGGTTCTTACCGCCTTGTCCGTTCCACCCCTGGGGGCTTGAGCTCAACTGACCTTGACCTTGACCTTGACCTTGACCTTCACCTTGACCCTGAATCGTGATGAAAACCTTGACCTGGGATCGAGCGAACGGTTGATGGCGATACCGCAGGATTAAGTAAGCTTATGTCGCAAGTATATATCAGTTGTAGTATTTTGGCCAGGGCTCTTACACAGGGCTTGGACCAATAGACTTATCGCGATCCAGCCTTGAAGACTACGGTACAGTACTTGGTACGTAGTCCTTCTATACTTAGTACAAGTACTGTACCACTATCTAGTCTGTGCAGGACGGCGGAGTTGATAAGGCGCTGAGCTGGTCCGTTCTTGAGTCAGCGGGGATAGCATACCGGTACTGTAGTAGGTAAGTATTGGCGATAGCATCCTCGGTCCCAATACTGTACCGAGCGGAGGTGAGTAGCAGCCATGATTCTGTGCTTACAAGTACAAGAGAGGCTTGTTACCGAAAAGCGATTTCCGAATCGTTGGAGCTGGGCCGCCAAGGGTGTCCTCCCTCTGCCTGACATTTAAGTATTAGATCCGATCATCTTGAATTTCGCATGCTTTCGACACCTTAAATGCTACTGTATGTAGTAGTAGTACTACTGTAAGTATGGGCGCGTGAAAGTATCGCGGAAGAGCAGCCGGATCGCCAGGAAGAAAAGGAAAAGAGGCTGCTCGGACTCGCAAAAAGTCCGGATTGTGTGTGTTGCCGGATCGCGAGGGCTGTGTGGTCTGTGTGTCTAGACGTACAGTAGTACAGTACGGTAGAAGTCAGAAAAACAAGCCGGGGTTTCACAGCGCAGAATTAAATTAGACTACTCTTCTTCTTCTTCTTCTTCTTCTTCTTCTTCTTCTTCTTCTTCTTCTTCCTCCTCTCGTCTATTTCCGTTCTTTTATTTGTTCTTCTCTTCTTCTCTCCTTCTTCTTTTTGCTTGTTTTGATCCCGGGACGGGTTCGATCTACTATAGGCAAAACAAAGAGGAGGTAGGGCAAGGCGTCTCGCGGGCCTTTCTACCGGTACGTACGGAGCCGTACCTATCCCTTTGAAATACGCGAGGGAGCTGAAAACTTGATGAGCTCTGCGCGCGTGTTGGTGCATTGCATCGGCTAGCTTACTGAAGCCGACAAGAGTTCCCGTCCGCGAATTGTACTAATTCCGTAGGGAGGGTTTCTACAGTAGCACTTGCTCGAGTTGTACAGGCTGATCGTATCGGGCGCTTAAAATAAAAAAAATAAATAACATTTCACTGCATGCGTACCGGTACACAGAGCGGCATTTTTAGGTTAAGGTGCTGGAGGCACGCGGAATCATGCTCTACGTACTGTACTACTAAATTCGAGGCATGGGAAAAATCTTGGTTGGAAATGTGCGTACCGAGTAAGTAAGTAGTACCGGTAGTAAGAGGACAAAGAAAGTTACGTAGTAAATGACTAAACTCTGTTCCGGGAAGCCTGGATTTAGTCTTTTTTTTACACATATTACCGGCCTGATACAGTAACACGCGCTTATCCCATGTTCCTGAAACGCAGCTTAAGGCGAACGTAGGTATGATTACCTGCAAAGGCTCTTCCGGACTGCTTCTTGACTGCCGGCCTTCAACTAATGAGAGAAGAAGGTAGAGATCTGGCTCGGGAAAGCGACGCGTCTCCGTGGGTAAGTTGATCGATCGGGCTGTGCATTAAAGTTAGAGTAGTGAATTTTACAATTCGGAAAGCTGCCGTCTGATGAATTAAGGGACTAGAATGGGTCTGCCGGCCCTTACGTACAGAGTAGGTAGTAGTATTTTCAGCAAAAAAATAAGGGAGGGTGGCGACCAAGGGGTGCCAGCCAGGTAGGTCAATGGCACGATTACCTTTCTTCTTTTCTTGCCTTGGCTGCTTCTTACAACACAACTGTAGTACAGAGTACAGCTACAACTACCTATCTGGATTGATCGTCAGTCGGTGCGCTGCCTGGAGACCTGCGCGCGCTTGATTACCTACCTTACGTGCGCAACCTGTATGGGCGAGCCGATGGAATAAAGGTAATAGGTACCGACTGGCCTGTAAACGACATCGGAGTCGTATATGCGCCTTGCATCCAGATATTTGACACCGGGGTCTTGGATCGGTTACATACGTACCTAAATCAGGTGGTAAAACACCGCGTCTGGCTGATTTTACTTAATGCTTACGACTGGCGCCTGGGCCGATGGCGAATCGAAAAACACTGATCTCTAATAGTCAGCGAGGGCACTGACTGACTGGCTATTCGTCTGTAATTTGAAACACGTTGTCCATCTTTTCCCAGTCCTACGGATCTTGCTTACGATATTTTTTCCGAACTTACGTAGTACTTGTACTACTTATATATGTACCAAGGTAATGAATGCCATGAAAACTTACTCCGTTGCTTTGCGGCCGGCTGAAGCGTTAATAGTCAGTGAATTGCCTGTTTACCTTCGGGCTGTAACCGAGAGCCTGCAGGTAACCCTTCCCCCACCCCCATGAATACATGTCGAAAGCATAATTTTGCAAGGGATCTTACCAGGTCTTTAAACCGATCAACTTACAACGTACGTAGTAGTAGTAGTAGTTATATAAGGATTCATTCAGCCTTGGGGAAAAAAAAACTTTGAGCCAGTACTCAATCTGTGCAATGGATTAGATAGGGCTTTAAGCCATTCAGATATCACCGCTCAACGATTTGTGGAGCTAAAGTGGGTCCGACATTTATTCATGGGGGGGATAGTAGGTACGCAAAATCTCTTCTTTGCTGCAGTAATTCTTAATTGTGAATTTCAGCCCATCTTTGAGTTTTGCGAAACTTCACGTAAGGAAAATTTCCTAAGCTTTACGGAAGCTGGCTAGCCAAAACAGACGACAAGAGTACGGCCCTCGCACGCGCCCTCCCCTTGTTTTCTTATTGCCGTGAGCGGAAAATTGGTCTTCCAGATCCGAAAGCAAAGAGACTATCAAGTTTTCTCAAAAGTCTGTCGACTCGAACAAGTGAGTCTGAAGGTCGGAATCCGTTACCGTCACCGCGGTATTGACGGCTCTTCATCTCATCGGCAATAGGTATATACTTGTAGTTGCAAGTTAGTGCAGATCCGGAATTCCTTAAGGATACTACTAGTCCAAAGGAGATATTGGTAATCGCAGTCCCAAGAGTTTCAGGAATGCCCAGACGAGGCTCTGCATTGGTTGGCAAACTGAAAGAAATGAAAAAATGAGAATGGAGAGAGAAGTGTACTCGGTAAACTGTAAATGGCGACAGCCAGGAGTGATATATAAACGTCCGCAATGTCCAGGCAAGTCCAGAAAGCAGGCAGTTCAATTACATTCTTTCCATTCTCAACTTCCACTCTTTTTCCAACTTCAACTTTCACTCACCTTCTAAATTAGTACCCTTCAAACATACAACCGCAAATATGCAACTTATAGCTCTCCTTCTAACCGCTGCTGTGGCCCTGGGCTGTGCCCCTCCTCTAGAGCTTGAATTCCCTGAGCGGAACGGAGACATCATTTCGCTCGACGAGCCGCAGACAATCGAAGGCGAAGTCGATATGAACTACAAAGAGTATGATCGAGGACGCCCTTGCAACACCGACGAAGACCTCAAGAGCAATGAAGCTGTCTTCATCCTCGAGGACGGCGCAATCCTTTCGAACGTAATCATCGGCTCAGACCAGCTCGAAGGGATCCACTGCAAGGGTGCTTGTACCCTGATCAACGTCTGGTTCCGTGATGTCTGCGAAGGTACAGATCTCTCCGTAGCAGGAAGACAGTTGCAGGGCTAATGTATCCGCAGATGCCGTTTCCATGCTCGGTAAAGGCGATGTTTTCGTCGAGGTCAGTACAATCCCGACGATGTCTCGAGTCCAGAGAGCAAAAAAAAAAAATGAGCCCTCGATCCTCGAAACTTCAAAGCCGTGCTAACGTCAACAAAGGGTGGTGGAGCCAACGCCGCAATCGACAAGGTCTTCCAACACAACGGAAGGGGAACGGTGACCATCAAGGATTTCACCATCACCAATGCCGGCACGGTGTACCGCGGATGCGGTAACTGCACGAGTAAGTGATCGACCGACCCGTCTCCGAATCCCGTTCGCGCTCTTCCGGAGCAGTGTGGCTCGCACTATGGCTCCGGAGAAGCGCCCCAAACCGGGCTCCCCTTTGCTGACTTGCGCTTCTCCCAGACAACGGTGGTCCAAGATCCGTCATCTTCATCGGCCTGAGGGCACACAACGTGACGGATGCGCTTGCCGGCATCAACGTCAACTATGGTAGGTTCTCCCTCCTCTGACTTCGGGGACCAAAGACTAAACGGGCGTAGGCGACACTGCAACGATCTTTGACTCGGTATGTACAAATCCTTGCGCCGTTTTCTCCATCATGCTCCAGAACTCTCGAGGATGATGAGCAGCAGCACACACGGCTGCGCTCTCTGATTCCCGAAAGCCCCCTTGAGTCCCTCCCCATCTTTCAGAGTCCGTGGCTGACATCGATAATAGTGCGGAAGCGACATCAACAACATCTGTCAGGAGTGGAAGGGCGTCAACAAGTCCGAGGGCATCCCGTCCGCCAGGCTCGACTCGAAGGGGTCCTGCCTCGGCGAGCAGGGGAAACTGGACGAGCTCCCCACGTGCTAGGAGCGGCAACGCCCTCAGCGGAGCGCGGTGGCTTTTACGATCGATGAGAAGCTGATGACCAGGTCTAATGCGGAGGAGGGTTCTACCACTTCTTTTTATCTAATTACTTATTCTTTTGGGCTTTGCTAGTGCTGGGAACGGCAGGGAGGATTATCGGGACTCATTGATTGGGTCACATTTCCAAATAAATAAAAAGCACTTGGTGACCTTCCAGACCTACCTACCTGCCTACCTACCTACATACCTTGTGCAGTGAATATATGTTTCTTGCTGTTCGCGCTTTGCTCGCTAGCAAAGTTCGATGCTTGCCTGCTGCTACTGCTTGGTGAAGTGGTGAGGTGATGTTTCGCCGATCATCTGCTAGCCTCCTGTGACCTACCGTGACGAGTGATTCCTTCACTCTGGTGCTTGTTATTGTACCTATTTGCACTGATTATTTCTGCAGTACTCGGTATGCGTCATATCCTAACGGTAATCGGTTTTCTAGAAACACCCCCTCCCCATAGTCCTTTTCGTCGTCAGCCGGCTCTCTAAGTTTGTTTGTTTCGCAGTACGCACCCCCGATCACATCCTAGCGAATACTCAAATATCTTGCCCGATTCATTCAGGAGCTTTGTTTTGTCTGTGGACTACGCTACCATTTCCAACTCGAGCACTTGTGAGAAGGATGAGCGACGAGTGAAAATGTCCTTGCAAAGAAGGTGAAGCTTTCAATAAGAGGGTGTATTGGAGGGAGGGGTTTGGTATCTTGAGAGGGTTAGATGACAATGCAGCGCTCTTTCCGCACGTATTCTTCTTTGACGTTGCTCTGCATCCTCACCTCTTTGTTGAAATTAGGTCATTTTCTACTGGAGCCGGATATTAGTATAACTTCTCGACAGGGCAAAGCGAGCCGAAATAGAATTGCCTTTCGAGAGGAGATACTTACCTCGGATCGTGAAAGTTCTGGTGCTCGAACTAGGCTTTGATGACAAAAATACCGCACCAGGAGACATGCATTGATAGAAGTGCAACATGAGTATCATCTGAAGCTTGATCTCCGAAGTAAGGATTTGCATCAAGTTGGAGACTATCAGGCAATAAGATTTATATGGAAGTCAATTGTAGTAAACGAAAAGTCGCAAAAATAGCAAGAGGTTTCTCGCGTACAGTGCAAAAGTAAACAGCTTGAAACTCCAAATGAATCAATAAGCATGGGTGAAACATTGCAGCAAGATTTCCCGAATTACCTAGCCTCAGCCTCTAGATAAGCAATCTTCTACTATCTTAGCAAAGGGCAAGAGGATACCAGATTTCCAACGACCAACGATATTGCAGAAATGTTCGCCTTCCTCGGTGAAAGCTCCGCTGCAGTTATCAACCTTCCTTCAATCACAGGTTCACGAGTCCACTTTGAAAACTTGTATGTATGGAAAAGAAAAATAGCCAAAATAAACAAGTCGGAAAAACAAAAACAAAAGGCAGCTCTGAAAGGGAATACAAGCAAATGAATTCCTTGCCTGCTGCCACTTTTCCTTCCTTTATGCAGACCAATGCACTACTGACCCACATCGAGCACCTGCGATAGCGTTTCCTCGAACTCCTGAATTCCACCCTCTATAAACTGACTAAAAGTAATCGATACCCCAAAGTAAACAAAGAGCCAGGAAATAGACGAGAAATGCGTTATTTACCTCGTTCGCCTATTTTCCTGCCTCTGTCAGGCTCAAGCTTACTCACCGTCCGGCATTTCCCGCCTCCCCACTTCGGACATTCCTGCCCGACTGACAGCTCAGCGGCTGCGACACAAGGCAAAAATATACGAACTCTGCATACGAGGCCTACGTGCGTAACGTTGTCAAACCTGCCGGCCGATACGAGCATCGCAATCGTCCTCGTCGTCTCAAACATGAGAAGCTCTCTCTCTCTCTCTCTCTGCGCACACATCCACGCCGGTGATCATGTCTCAAACGCAAACCGAACCACCGCCAACCGATGCGCCAGATGCGCGTGCGCAGGAGCCCAGGCCGCAGGACGCCGCCAGGTCGTACTATGGGTACCTGTTTGAGGCGGACAAGAAGCCGACGAAGGTGCTAGATGCGCTATTGAGAGCGATCGCGGCTTACATCGTGAGTCTGTCTGCTCGCAGCTGGAGGAGAGGAGTGATTTGGCAAAGAAGGATATGGACCACGACGGGAGAGAAGCAGGATGCTTAGAATAGACATCGGACGAACAAGGCTGACCACACACCGTGCAGAGCGAAGAGATAGGCTCCAAAGACGAGAAAGCCCTCACGCCCGACAAGCTGGCTGCCTTCTACAAGGCTGTAGGCGGGAACTACGACTGTTTGTCTCGTCCTCCCCTCTCACCACACTTCGTCTGCAAGGCTACCTTTATGATTTCTAACACCCTTCTGCAAAATAGCCCTCTTCGTCGACGTCCCCTACCCTTCCATATCCTGGATCTATGCCTCTATAGGATGTCAACACTCCCTCCTGCCCAACCCCTCCAGCGACTTCGAACCTCCCTCCGTCCCCGCCCTTACCCCGAGAGGCTTCGTCCGGTGGCAGAGCATCGAAATCCTGCTAGGGCCAGAAGAACACGTCCCCTTTATACAAAACGCCATCCGCCTCTTCCCGCTCATTAACCCGCTCACAAAAACACCCTTTCCTCTCCCGCTACCTAAAGAAGCATTCCCGTTAGTTCCGGATGCGGATATAGCGAAATGGCACGACCAGTGCGCTAGAGCACTGCGGCAAAGAGCCTCTCCCACGGAAGACGAGCCTCGCCCGAATCCACCACCTAGGCCGAAGGTAGAAGCGACTTATGTACATGTGAGGCCTACACGGCCCAGAGTAGACTCGCACGCGGATTATTTCGAGCGCGAGCCGAAGAGCATGCGAGTCCCTCTAGGGGGGAGACCAATGTCTTATAACCATGTCTCAAGTACGGGTGTTAGAGGCAATGTGCCCATACCCGTCAGGCCTGTCCTTTCGCGCTCGCCGTCCCATCGCGCGCGCCAGTTTTTGGCGCCCGAGCACTCCATGAACCCGAGGGTTAACAGGGGAAGGAGAGCTAGTTTCCCGGAGAACGGGATGACTGGCTCAGGCTCCAGTCCCATGGAATCGCCTGTTTATAGACATAGTGGTGCCCCGAGTCCGAGGGAGGGAATGCGGGAGGAAAACGTTAGACGGCATAGCCACCCACGGCACGCAGCGAGACGAGGTAGTATGAGTGAAGACGCAAGCAGCAGTGAGGACGGCGGAGCGCCCGGGGCTCCTGCTGCGGAGAGGAGGAGGAGGAGGACCTATGCGCATGAATCGATGAGACCGCCTGTTGCGGTCCGCTATTCAATGTCTGGCGTCGCTCCCAGCTCCACCCCTCTGCCCGACGGGCGGAAGATGAGAGACAGAGAGCGCGAGCGAGGGAGAGAAAGGGAGAGAGAGGAGGAAGAGAAGAGGAAGAGCCGCCGGGGCTTTGGAGGAATCCTCCCAGTTGATGCCAACGGGAAGCTTTCCGCGCCTTTCCTGCTGCGGAAGCGTGATCGCGAGCGAGACCGCAAGGCGCGGAGTAGTTCTCACAGCGGCGGAAGCGCCGGAAATGTCAGGTGGAAGGATTTGGACGATGATGCTGTCAAGGAGCTATGGAAGAACGCCGGGAGTGGCGGGAGCGTGGAAGAGGATATCGGCGCCGGGGGCCATGGTGCTGGGAGACATCGGGATAGGGAGAGGGTTCGAGACGAGAAAGACCGAGAGAGAGAGTTCAGACGCAGAGAGCGCGAGCGCGAGAGGAGTCGGCGGCGAAGCTACGAGAGGGATGCGGGAAGTGGGCGGGAGCATAGCGGGCGCGAGCGGGATAGGGAACGGGAAAGGGAGACGATTGTCAACGGGCGCATCCCGCCTGCTGTTCCTGAGGGGAGGGGGTTCCGGGAGAGGAGGTTTGTGAGTCCTGTCAGGGGCGTGGATGGTCGGAGGTATCCTTCTCATGTGTAGATGTGCTTTTTCTTCTTCGATCCAGCTAGGGCAGGGTAGGACGGGGTAATCGCATCTTGGAAAATCGGCAGGCTGCGACGGGTATGGGTATGGGACGGGCAAGCCTGCTTAGGCATGCGGAATGTTTACAACAACTTCCATAAGCGAGCAAGCGAGCGATTCGAACGATTTAGCAAGCAAGCGAACGTTTCTCTTGCGGAAAGATGATACGATACATGTGGCATGATATGATATGATGTAACTCGATACGATACAATTCAAATTGACAAAAGTATATACGCAACGAATAAACACGCTTCTTCCTTCCTTCCTTCCTCCTTCTCCTTTTTTCCCATCCAGTACAACTATTCTTTCTTTTCTTTTCTCTCTTTCCTTTCCTTTTCTCCTTTCCTTTCCTTCTTCTCTCCCTCCCCCCTCCCTCCCACCCTCTCTTCTCTTCTCATCTCCTAGCATAAACAA